GCAATGCACTAATGTAGAAATAATGTGATGCCTCATTAAGATATAAAAATTAGGTATTAGAAGAAAGCAGACAAAAGCTCAGTATAAATGGATCGGGATAAAAGGATTGTGATCCAAGGAATTCTCCAAGCAATCCAACGTTCACCATTCCAAGGCAACACCATCCGGTTTCCGATGAGGCTTAATGCCCTTTCCTTTTAACTAAAAAACGGGTTATATATTCGTAGAAAGTAGATTTCAAGACTATCAGTAAATTGTGAATAAGAGTTCTAGTCACCCTAGGTCGCATACGGTGACAAAGGACTGATAGTTTTATTTTCCCACATTCATATGAGTAGACATCATGATTTCATTCACTTTCACCTAACCTTTCTTTCCATATCATATACTAGGCCTTAGTCAAGCTAGGCTGTATCTTTCGTTACCATGTAGCCCGTAGGGTGTTGATGGCTCTAAAAATGCTAGATCAGGGCTTCCTCATAATTTTATAGCATCAAAGTTGAGGGCAAACATGATCCACGTCTTGCTTATTTGAGTCCTAATCGTATACGTGTTGGATGCTAGCTATTAGAAGGCAATATCACTTGCCACTATGCTGTAATACTCAGGTATTTATCATTTTCGGAAGTATCTTCTTCTAAAACAAATAGAAAGGAAACTAACGATGAAAACTACATACAAATTATCAGGTTTGGTGGTGCCAGTAAATGAAAGAAAAGCCCTGTTTTAAGAATCCATTTTTAAAATTGATTACTAATCTAGGCTAAGCCATAGGTCACCTTAAAAGTTAAGGTGGGCTTTGAAGTTGTGCCATGCTTTTCCGCAAGCAGCCGCGTTGCCTACGTGGCGACAATAAATTGCAGGCAAACTACGAGATTCAGGACAACAAAGACCTCTTGACCCCTACATTTTTTCATTGAAAATGCATAAGTAAGGCAGAACGCTGTATTAAACGTAGGTAAGTAGTCGTCTGGGACTAAAAGCAGGAAGACTGGTAGTCTAGAGGATGTGCATTAGATGATGCTTGGTGTCAAGAATAGAAGTAACTTATTTCATGCTTTCTCGTCAAGGTTATTCGCACTAAAGCCAGATCTTGCTGGTTCTTACTCCTGGGGCCGTAGGATAGTGAGAAGCCTGTCCATAGTTGTTTGAGGTCGGCTTTTAAGTGTGCACCGTACTCCTCTTTTTACGAAAAAGATACATTCCAATGGAATTTCCGACATCGGTCCGGCTACGGACACTCTGGTTATGCATGTCCTAATGGGGATCCACATTAATATTAAAACCAGCAAGAGGGCAGTTTCTTTATTACAGTAGATCTAGGTACATCTCTTTGGCACGACATGAATGAAGGGCGTGAAGTTATATTGGGAAAACTGTACTTCGCAAGTCTCTTGATTAAGGCCTTGCGTCAACGGTTACTGCCAACCGTCAATTCAGCTTCTTAAGCAAGCGTATATCTGGAAGTATCTTGCCATCCTTTCCACGTGATGCCAACCTCCAGTAGACATCCTCCGATTGCTTAGGTTTATGCCACTGGGAAATACTATCTGCTACCTCGCTAAGTTTGGTCACTCGATTAAGTTAATATAGAGAAAGTATACATTTGTAGCAGATCCAATACAGCCAAAAATAATCTATTAGTTCCTCTACACCACCAATGTTATAACGAACATCTAGTTTGTTATTGAAAAGGTGTTTCATGCTATTCAGCCCTTTAAATAAGGTCAGTAAAACTTTCAATGAAATGTCCAGTTTTTCTATATTTATTTAACTGCAAAGTAAAAGTATAGGACAAAAGATAAGTTTAGATCTGAGCTACAGCAAATATAATTAGAGGAGGAAATTTTGCGTGTTCAAAGATCTCTTCCCTTGTCAGTGAAATACGGATAGGTGAACATTTTATTAGTTCTGAGGAGGAATTCGCAAGCCTTATACATTTGGCAAATGTACTAAAAATAGGACAACATAGGAAGCAGAATTAGGCATTTCATGCTGTCTTTTGAATTCCCCAGTCTTACCAACCGGCAATGACTTACCCACCTATTCATGTTTAATAATTATATTAGCATGTATCAAGTCACTCATATCAAGCAGGCTGCTTTCACGGCTGTCACAACTTCGGAACCTTGATCATCATGAGTGAATATAAAATGCATATCTGCCGTCACAATGCAAGTAAAAAGCGTTTGGGCAAGTACGGTCTTGGCGCAATCCAACTGTCAGAATAACCCCATTTGTGATGTAATCCCTGGAACTAAATTGGAGGAATATAGTCCCTATTCAAGATCTACTCATAGTCTCCAAAATCTATTTATAAAAAGCGATACTGAGTAATAAACTCGATTTTTATATCAAATGTAACTCTGCTTCATCGGTGATCCCACTACGGAAAGCAATTTGGGCTAGGCCTGGCCTTCCTTGAATTTTGCGTTAATCATGTGACCCAAGATAACTCGTGACAGTGTGGCGTAGTAGTCAACGTGTCGGGGTTATACGTTGCACTACCAAAGCTGGGGTTCGAGTCCTGCTGGAGGTGATGATGGGACATAGGCTTTCTCGCAACGGCAGTCAACTCTGAATGAGAATACCTTTTGGGAAGCAAGGCTATGTAAATTCATATCCTCATCGCCTTAAACGAAATAGGGTAAATAAAATTCTTATAACGATTTTTATCTACTTAATAATTTCATGATGCTTAAAATACCTGCGCTCAACAAAAAATTATCCTTATGTTCCAACTATATAATTTTGAGTGGCCTGATAACTAACTTTTGAGAGGTGGAAAATTCCAATTCAAAAGCAAGCCTTATTCTTCCTAACAGAGGCCTTTGAATACGACTTTCGGCTCATAGAATGTATGAAATCATCAAGCCGTCACTGTCACTAATTGCTTACTATGTATATAATTTTTCCCTCAATCTATATGTTTTTAGTTCGGAATAAGATAAAAGTAAAAAGTATTTTTTCTACAAAATATAGGCAATTTTCTTATCAATGGCAATAAAGTCAACCAAGCTATCTGAGGCTAAGCTCATCTCTAAAACTCTGACCTTTTGCATGCCTATATAGGTGCACATGATGGTTACACATGCCACCAAAGAACCAAGAATCTGCGGGCTGTGTGGATATGAACTCTGGACTGAAGATAACGGTCGAGTAATCTACACAATACCTTCAAAGCATGACGATAAAACAAAGGCTTTCGGAAAGTTCTCATCCCAATGCTCCACCAGTGGACCAGGCCTAATGATTCTTAAAGGTTTGGCATTTAACCAGCAGAATGGCTCCCTCGGCACCGATTCCTGTCCAGATCCTGCTCTCTCAGACAGCATCATCTGGCGTCTTGTACAAACACATGAACGCTGGCATTATTCCAATATGGCTGTCGCCCTGCCCGTCACCTCTGCACATTTCTTACCTCTGCCACTTATCGGTCACCTTCTTTCCACTGGCTCGAACCAGGGTCAGCGACTTCTGCCGTGGCTGACCTCACTTTTAACTTCTGGCACTGAGGTAACAACACGTGATCAACTGACCGAACTATTACGACGCTATGATCGCAAGATTCATGCAATAGCTGCCAGATGTCAATCGCCTGAAGGTCGGTCGACACCACATGCCCTCTCAAAAAGCCTGACTTTTGAGGGTCAGGCAACCACCACAGTGGCCACGCCAACAGGCATGACGACGTTTTCAGATAATCTGGAATCGGCTATCACAAGCTTAGGCGCCTGGAAAAGCTTTCCATCAGTGACTGAAAATCAAGCGCCCAAGTCTGTAGGTTCTATCAAGGAATTGCTCATGTCAGATACAGATGATTTTGTAGGCCTATTAAAAGATACTGACACTACAGCAGAGAAGGAACAAAATACAGAGCTGGATGCTTGGAACCCTCAAGCGGAGGCAGAAAAAATTTCTTCACCAAACAGAATCATTCTGCCACCAGAACTTTATAAGTGGCTACTAAAGTGTAGGATGAACAATGTGTTAGCTCAGAGCAGAAATGAGTAATTACAGTGAAATATTTTTATTTTGGAGACTTGCTCTTCTCAACTACATTACCCACTAGTAAAAAGTGAAATAGCGTCCACATTCATGGACGAAAATG